CTATCTATTTCTAAGTACTGACTGAGTCCTGTTATTCTTTTCGCTTTATGAGCACAATGCAAAAATGATCAATGGAATTTTGTCACAATTCTGGACTACATAACATGAAGCTATTCACTCTCCAGTGAACAAATAATCAAAGAATTTTTCAAGTTGTTATTCATCGTAGACTGACATCAGTTGAAGGAACAAATCTCCACAACTCCCTCAAAAAAATCAATGAATCTATTTCAACCGTACAATAGATGATTGACAGTCCGACTTTACTATTGGGTAATGCGAGTTTGAATCCCACAAGGGATATCAGTTCCTTCGGGATTATGGTTATACCATACTGATAACTGTTAAAAGCCAAGAGGTTCAGGTTATTGAACCAGAATGCATCATGCAACTTGGTGACCACATAACAAATTGATCGACGGAATTACGTCAGTACATAGGGTTAGATAAAGTTAACTTTCTCTCTATCCAGAACCAGTCAGTGTACAGCCAATTATCATTGCAACTCAGGCTTTCGTGCATTCAACTTCAAAACAATTCACATCCCCTTTGTCATTACTTCGGTTAACATTTTTTGATGGACACACATCAACGACATCCTTTGGAGAATGTTGATAAAATAATAAGCTTTCCTACCTTTGACATTAACCATAATATCCTTGATGGATAATTTAATATAAATCACTTCTACACGAACTACTGCATCAAATGAATAACGACCACAAGATGATTGATAAGTTACTTCAAAATGATTCTCCTAAAGTCCTATTTTGAAGACTTAATGAATGACTTAAATCAAATCAAGTGTGAATTAAGGTGTTCACCAGTGATATCGGATGTCGATTACAATCACATAACCAGTTAACAGAAGTTGAACTATGTCAACTATTCGATTCTAACTCAGACTTTGATATGGACTTGATTGTTCATACAGTTATGAAGGCGTACTTGTTCGAAGTGTCGGAACAGGATGAAACAAACATCTAGTACTTCCAGGTTTTAAATAATTCTTTTGGTGTTGTTGATTTGCAATGAATGGCTTGAAATTCATGCTATTGTTACTATTATAACTTGGGACTTGGATTCCTAGTGGAACATAGGGCTTCAGTGACACGTTGGCATTTCAATCTGTTCTCTACAGTCTTTTGAAGCGGGTTTCCTTCCACGTCTCCTTCAAAGAGTTTCAGTGTTCTCCCGCTCAGGTTTCCTCAGGGATGTTGCCTAATATCTCCTATTTTGTGCTGATACCTGACATGAAGATGTCATTTGAAGTTTCGTCCTTCAGTTTATGTTCTGCGTCTTGAATTTGAACTGTGGTCTACCCCTAGCTTCTTTGAGGGCTTTCCACTTGATTTCGAAGGTAAGTTTCATGCACTAGATAGTGAGTGGTGTGACCCCACATCTACTCCTCTACTTAATCTTGTGTCTAGTACGCTGCCTGTGTCTCCATTTTCTTCACATTGAAATGAAGCCAATCTGATTTTTGGTATAGTGTGTCCACATAGTGAAGTCAAATCCATGCTGCTTTGTGGATATCCTTGTGCTTGAACACACTGCCTGACTCCAATCACCAAATCGCTGAATGCGCAGAAATCTGCAAACAGTTCTCCATTCTCATTCACTTCACCGAGTGCTTCTTAGTCCACGATGAGTTTTCTTCCTGTGTTGTCTGCTACCAGTTTGGCATTCATATCACCTCACCCATTAGAATGAATTTGAAGTCACCATCTTCAGTGGGGTCTTGTCCACTACTGCTTGCAGTTGTTTGTAGAATTCCTCCTTCTTCTTTTCGCCTGCATTACTTGTAGGTGCATAGCGTAGCATTGTATGATTGTCACCTTCCTTCCTTCCTTCCTTTTGATTTGAACCTTGCTGTCATGACTATTATTCTGGAGTAGATTGGTTTCCAGTGGATGAGAGCCTTTGATGCTCTTGAAGGGGACATGATGATAGTCACTCTAAAACTCAGTGTGCTGGTGGTTGTCATCTGGGCGACACTTTCGGAGTAGATTAATGACTCTCCAGTTGAAAGTTTGGAAAGTCCACTTCCATTCCATCTGCTTTTACAAATTCCTAGCACTTCTATGACACCTGGAATCCATAACTTCTTGCTAACCACATACATATTTATCAACACAGAAGAAAATACATTGTGAAATCTCAGACGCTTATATCTGTTACCCACTGATGCACAATTCGTGTACATAAGGTCATAAATCACTTAAACATTTTTGTAGTCAGATCTCTAACTTCAATTTTTTAGTGACGCAGACTTGAATCAACTAGAGAATATCAGCTTCCTTATGGTTGCGTATGGACGTCAACAAATCAAGCTTGTTGTCGTTCAGTTCCTCATGCCCAACATTAGGACACCTTGGGAAGAACCTATTCTAATGTCACTTTAGCTAGTTATTCTGACCACTCCTTTTAATCTCATAGTAAGACGGAACCAGTTATATTTCGCACATTCTACTGTTAATTGTAAGCCTAGATATACATTTTTGTCAAACTTTAAGCTATTTATAATCTTTTTATGGAATTCTTCCCATTTATAAACTTAAAGAGAATAATGCTAAAAAAGGTAGCAGAGTAATACAAGCGCCCATTTCTATGATTATTTCGAGGATTCTTCACAACAGCTAACAATGTAAATATTATCATAATAATTTGACATACATTTATCAAGCTGACAAGAAGTTATCGACGGTATATCCAGTCATGTATTTACTTTTTATAGCAATTTACGCTATCCTGAGTATTTAATATAGGTGTAGTGTACCTACTCTATAAGTGTCTTGATAAACTTTGTTTTCTTACGAAAATAAAGATCAGCTATATCACGGTTTTCTTTTTGTTCTCATTTGTCTTATGTTTACTCTTTCTTTGTTCTTATTATTCTACTTGTCCTCCCACACTTTGACCTAATAAAAATTAACTTGACAATTAGATAGTATTATCAATTTGGCTATCTAAGATAGACATGACTTGACAGACTCTTATTGATACTGGATAATGACTGAAGGTGAATTAAAATTTGGACCACGGTAGGGCTCGAACTAGGAGCCACAGATTCCTATTTCTCTTCAGTCACCAGGGGTTTTATCCTATTTCCATATGAATTCTCAACATATTGCTACCGTTTGATCTTACTCACACTGACTGCCCAGTTTGGACTTCTCGCTTCAATCTAAATTCATCTGAATTATTGAGAAGGAGCATCATATTGAATATCAGTTTGATTGTCTGAGATGGCCATGGTTTGGCAGACTAATGCGTAGTTATTGAAAGTTAAGTGAAATTCTGGTTCACGACAGGATTCGAACTAGTGATCATCCGGTTTCTGGCCGCTAATATATTTCCACCATACTGTTACATTGATGTAAAGACAGCAGACATACAACTAATAACTATGGATAATGTTTGAATTTCACTTTAGGTAGTCGGTTTGTTTTATTGTAGAATTTACCCATTTATTTATTCTCAAGCTTTGAATGAATACCGATATTAGATATCACACGGAGTTGTGTATGACTTAGGTTGTATGGTTCTGGACATTCATCATCAAATCACATCTAAAACCATAAGGAAAAATGGTGTGACTTCAGTTTTTAAAGCTTCACCTCTGACCACGAGTTGGTGGTTGGCGTGGATGTATAGTCCTGGGTGGGTGTTTGAGTATACCGATCAAGTTTATACTAAAGCCACTAAGCTATGTGATGCGGCTCGATGTTTTAAAGTTGAATGTCTTTGAATCCAATCAATATAAAGATCAGTAGCTGGAATTCATTCACTGCTGAACACTAAATACTAGACAGATGTATCACCTATAGATTGTTAGTTGATTAGAATGACAATGTATGGTTGTTTCATGGTAAGCCGGGAAACCAATCACATAAAATACACTTACAAGGAGGATTCGGGTTTCCATATTTAGTTGCCATACTATCCTAAAATGACAGACCATCAAGTAGGTGAGAATGATATGGATATGTTTAAAGTATGTCAAGTATTGTGGCCCATCATTATTAAACATAGTTAAAAGACAGGCCATATCGAGGCATCCGCATAGGAGCCCATATGCCAACAGAGGCTGATCAGTTCGGTCCTATCAACGACGGTGTAATACAAGCAATAACACTAAAACCTATACCCGTTGCACAACAAGTGGCTATCGTGGCTCGGTGGTGTAGTGGATAACGCTCTGGCGTTTGAAGCGATCGCTCCCGAGTCCCGGTGGGAACAGGAAGCAGGTACATTCAGCTGACGAGTCCCAAATAGGACGAAATGCGCATCCCGGATTCCACTGCTAACCACTGCCCATCATTACGAAATATGTCGAGTATTCACTGTAAGAGTACCTTCACCTAGTAACCGCTCTATGCCTATCCATTGATTATCTTTTAACATTTGCTACATTAAATTGGTGTAAGTAGTTGATTCAGAATAACCAATTAGATAAAGTTTTTCTGTGTTCAACTTAAAAACAGCTTTTCGGTCAAATGATGTATACCGGCTCGTGATGGAATCCAAGATGTGTGTTCTGTCCTATCTGATACTCTTCAAAAGAATGTATCTGCCTCTTTGTGAGAGATGTTGTGCCCATTGGGATTCGAATCCAACGCTAAACATCTCAAAGTCCACGGTATTATTATTTACTAGTGGGAAGAACATTGCTTACTGAAAGATGGGGAAGAATATAGCTGACGTATCCTATAGTGAATGAAATTGATGTCTTAGATTCCACTGCTAACAGTTATTCAACAATAATGAGACATATATACAAAAACCTATACAGTAATAGTGGTTAATCAATTCTATCAAACCGGAAACTATAAGATAAAACATGGAGCTATTCCACACTTTTGTAAAGACTTTTGGTCATTCTGTAAAGCTTCATTCAACTTCATATTAGATTTAGTATTGAAGGAGACCATAAACCCCGGTTACAAACTTTAGGCATTTAAGGATTAAAAGGAAAGTTTACTGGAAAGTGAACTTACGCTTCATATTTAGTAAATCATTTTGATTTGTGTTTAATTCATTAGACTTATCGATAATGGTTGTTTCATGTGTATCAGTGAATGTGACTAAACGTAGCTTATCATCATTTCTTTGTATTTGTAAATCCCATTGTTGTTCCTCTCTATCACCATCATTATTCTCTGTATCTGATATACTTTGATCTGACCATAATCGTCTAGCTTCATTCACTTGATTTGTAAATATTAATTCTTGTTTTCGACGTAAATTCTCTTTACGATCATAATAAAATATCAAGGATTGTAGATACGCTAGTGCCACGATTGATAAACAATATTGGAATATTAAAAAATGCTTTGATTCATTCAACAATATGGACGATAGTTGGTAGAAAGTTTAAAATGGAGAAAAAAAAGTGATAGGAAATAAGATAAGCTTGATTGAAGTAAGTAGTTTTTTGCCTTAGCTAACTAACTTACTATTTAGATAAATTTCATCATATATGTAACTGATAACTAAAAAAAAAAGGCCTGTGATGCTTGATTCACCTTACCTCAGTGTTAGAGAAAATTTCATATTCGATCACGACTTTCTACCCTTACTTAGTCTGTTACTGCTATCAGTGGCCAACCATATGAATCAAGAAATCGTTGGATTATGCCAACTTCAATGTTAGTTTCTCATAGACACAACAACTACTACTACTCAAACGTTTACAAGCTTTTAAACTCAAGATTGAAGACATCTCAAGTTCTAGTCAAAACGATTGTGGTGGGTGAAACCTGATCATCGGTAATGGGAAGCCATATGACATTGATCTTGTGGAAGTGATCGTTTGTTGCAGTATTGAAATGCCTTACTGAATAACCAATTCATGTTAAAACAGTTTTGAATATATTTATCTATAGAAAAATTGATACCATAGTTCTCAATCTTAGTAACGATTATAAGAGTAATAGCTACATTCTAAACAATATCTTTGACAAAGTATTATTATTATTATTTTATCCTTTGGGTTCCTAGTGTGACGCCCAACTCGTCGTTTCCCATTTAGGTCCCACTTGACAGTCTGTCCTGGCTTGTGATATCCCTAAATGGTAGTCTCAGTGTATGTCCAATCTAATCCAATCCAACTGCACTTTCTTTTTCTGTATATTTGTTGGGCGAAAGCTTCTTGCAAGGTTAATTGCCAGGCCACTCTTCCTCCTTGCTCATTTTTTTCATTTACAAAATCAACTGCAATAATTGTAGTCAACACTTCATTGAATAAAGTGGTTGCCCATTTCGCCTTCGTCTACATGAACACCAATTGGCTATAAAACGTCACACACGACATTTCACCACTAATTTCAATGCATGTGGATAACAACTATGGACATGAATTCTAATTTGACAATGTAGAAATGTTGGATGAAGAGAGGAAACACAAAGAATGTTATCAGAGAATTCCAAGAAGCTTGGCATTCACGTTAGTCAGTCAATCAGTCAGTCAGCAATCCATAGATGGATGTATAGATATAGACCCAATCTTTCAACCAGTGAGAAAAATGATACACGACAGAAAAGTGAGAGGTGAAGCAGAGTAGGAGCCAACAGGAGAATCTCTATAGTCATTTAATGACACGACAGTCAAAGGAAACGACTAATCATGGCATGCTGGTGAATCAGTGACGGAGAGATATTGACGGCTGACTTCAAACTGAAGTTAGTGCTGAAGATGCCGTCTAGAAAGATGATGAAATCTCCTCCAGGACTAAACAACTTAGCTTAGAGAACACTTTACAACTAACAACATCCACCATCTCCAAGGTTTCTTTTCAAATAAGTTAGTATTCATCATGGGCTAAGGTCGTTTGGAGAACTTTTGAGAACGTGGGATCACTGAACAACTTTTTAGTCGTAGCATGGAACTCCTCAGGAGTACTCATCCATGACCTCTCCAAGGATCGAACTCAGCACCGGCAGGTTTCATGGGGAACGCATTAATCACTCAGTCGAAACTCAGTGGTCCTATTTCTTATCTATTCACAGTATGGCAGGATCACTATTCAATGATATCGGTGAGTAGCTGTCACTAATCGTAGTCTCCAAAACCATGGCTATCTCAGACAGTCAAAATAATAACTGAATAGTGGTACAGTTTCATTGTGGTTCTTTTTCAGTTGAATTTCAAAAAGCTCTAAGAAGAAACTGTGACCAGTGAAATCACCTATTTCGACAGTGATGACATTACTCGTCGATAACATTGAATGACAGTCATGTTATATCACGAAAGAAACGAATTATGAACGTGTCAACCTCTGAATTCTCATCCACCAACTGAATGACATCGTGCTCAACGTTAAGGCTTAATGATTAAAACCTCCATCCCTCAGACTGTCATGTATGGACACCGCTTAGGAGTCCCAAGTAAGGACGGAATAACAATTTCGTTTTCCCAGGTTTTCAATTGATTTCAGGATAGTTTCAGAATGTCGTAATTCATGATGCATTTGTCAAATAGTCTTTTCTTACAAGTGCTACGTTAAGAGGTAGTTTTTATGAGTATCCACTAAGATTTTAGTATAATTGCTCGTGCCATACCATCGTTAATTGGACCAGATTGAATGCTCTCGATTGGCTCCTCCGCAAATGTTTTGATATTACCTGTGTTCGAATCATAGTAAAGATGGAAAGCGACTAGCAGTCAAATCTAGAATGTGCGTTTCATCCAATTTGGGACTCGTCAGCTAGACTAACCTGTCTCCCAGTGACTGATGTTGACTCCACAGGGATTCGAACTCGGGGGCGACTACTCCAAACACTACTACACCACTGAGTCCGTCCTAAGGCGTGATGAGCATCCTGCATTCCAGCGCTAGCCACTATCCATCTTTACTTTAATTAGAACACAAGTAATATCGAGGCATCCACTGCATAGAAGAGAGTTGAATCCGATTTAATCAACGACGGTGTGATACAAGTAATTATACTAATATTACTTGGTTACAAAATTTACTTTCAGATCAATAAAGCCTTACAAACCAGCAATTTAATATGTGTATATATTCAATCAACCGTTGGTTTTACCTCACTCAATAGGGTATTGACCACAAATAGTGAATAAACTAGAAATTGATGAATAGGTCCTTAAATATAAGCATGAAGTATGAAAAAGGCAACAAATGAAATTGGAAATAATTGTCAGTAGAATGAGTAATCAAATTACGTGGACAAACAATTTTTGAGAAGTCAATTGTATAAATTATATTTGGTTAGTAAGTAGCAGATAAAAAGTGAGAATTTGAGTAATTAAATCCATTAGAGTCATAATGAAGTCAGGAATGAATGACCTCATGTTTGGCTAAATGTTACGTAGACTTCATAAGTTTTTTCTCAGTTTCCATTGAAGATTAGGAGTGTTCCGTATCATGTTGTCTATCTTCAATAAAATGGGTGGGTCTCTTTTTTAATCAACAAATAAATATCATCTAGTCTACTGAAGGATAATCATATCTGTGAATAAATAGACATGAAGCAAGGTGGAATGAAAGAAGCCGACATCAGAAGGAAGATACTTCAGAATACACACTTCTTTGTTCACTTGATTTAATCCTAAGCCAAATAAACTATTTCACTGTTTACATATCTAAGCTTGATGTTGATGTTTCGTGAAGAATTGAATTTTGAGGGAGTTGTCGGGATTTGGAAATATTTCAGGTTGTTATTCATCGTAGACTGATATCAGTTGGAGGAATAAAAGAAACCTGGGAGCACCAGACAGCTGGCTATTCCGCAATACTATGGGACTCCTCAGCAGTCCACACCCACGACCACACACCATCACGGATCCAAACCGCCACCTTCACGTTCCGTGATCACCACATTACCATTCAGCCAGCCACTGGGTCACTACAATCGTCCATATTTACAACTTCTGTTACCTCATGATATAGAGCAACCACCACCCAATGTCATTGTTGAGTAACTGTCCTCACGACCATCAGGCTTTGCCCCCACCAAGTCACAACTTCTCATTGGAACTCCGGGAATATCCCTCGAAGCTAGTGACCAATGAGTACCAGTTCAATTGAATTTTGAGGGAGTTGTGTGGATTTGGAAATCTTTCAGGTTGTTATTCATCGTAGACTGACATCAGTTGGAGGAAGGATGGAACCTGAAGTTTGCGGGTTCGATTGCTGTTTGTGACGGGTGGTGAGTGCATACTGCTGAAGAGTCCCATAGTATTAGGGAACAGCCAGCTGTCCAGTGCTCCCAGGTTTCTTTTATTCCTCCAACTGATATCAGTCTACGATGAATAACAACTTGAGATGTTTTCCGTTAAGACAACTATCCCCATTTAGAGATATATAATTTTGGAAATTTTTCAAGTCAATCTTAATGCTTTCAAATGTTTTCGATAATTTCCAATTTGATGAGGGATGTATGAAATTGATCTTATACATCCTTAACTCTGCTTTGAAAGTTTCTAATATTTCATGTATCAAGCTTATGATAGATTTATTCACTTAGATCTTACTGAACAATGGTGGTATTCAGTGTTATTGCTTGTATTACACCGTCGTTGATTGGACTGAATTGATCAGTCTCTGTTGTCATATGGGCTCCTGTGGATAACGCTCTCGCATTTGAAGAGATCGCTCTCGAATCCAAGTTCCAGTGGGAACAATATCACTCACTGTGAGGCAGGTACATCCAGCTTACGAGTCCCAAAATAGAACGAAGTGTGAATCCTGGATCCCACTGCTAGCCACAGCCAGTCATTACTCTACATAGATGGTGGTATTCACTATCATTTCACAATGTACTTTTCAATTACTTGTCTCATAAAACAGTCAGTGTATGTCTATAATTATAGTTGCATTTTCTCAATTTCCATTTCAACATTATAAAGGTATTGTTGAAGATGTAGCTAATAGGATTATATTAACTAGCTACGTGTTGAATTCAAACTCTACTACATGAAGTCCCGCTTGGAAAAGGAGGTAGTGCCATAAATTTTCTCACAATAAGTGTTGCTTGTTATCTAACGAGGAAGCATCTACTAAGTTCTATTGTATTGTTGTGACGTTTTTAATTGGATTTCTCTACATGTGCTGAAAAGATAGTTTCTTTTTCATAACATTAAAATGGAATGATGCATTAGAGTTACTGCATCAATATTAATTAACTTTAGACAGCAACAAGACGTGTATTCAAAGATCGTTTGATCCAGTATACCAAAGGAGAATAACAGGTATATCGAAAAATAGTAATAACTGATACCCGTTTTGCAAGAGGTGGCTATGTACCTCAGTAGCATAGAGGATAATGCTATGGTGTTTGAAGTGATGGATGCTAGTTTTGAATCTTAGCAGGAAAACCATCACTTGTCGGGATACAGGTACAATCATGAGATGATCCTGAAATAGAACAAAACGTGTGTCCTGAACTCGACTACTAGCCACTAATCATCCTCAAATTCAGAATAAAATTGCCGGTTATATTCATGTATCGTCGTAATAACCCATATAACCACAGATGCTGACCACTCCGGTCCAAAATCGACCAACAATAAGTAATAGCAAGCTGAAAATCATGAAAAGTGTTGTAAATAAAGTATGCTTGTTAGGGCTGAAATTTTAATGACTGGTAATTGAGATATGTCTATCACCGATGATCTTCCTGATTGTGGTCGACTGGACGGGATCATACAATAAAATGTGGAGAGTGAGAAGATTGACATACACTGTTTCACCGATGAGAAGACCCCACAAGATTTGAATTTTGACGATGCTGATTTATGTCTGATGTCTAATGTCGCACAAACTCGCTGATGTACAGGCAAAGACTAAGAAGTTAGCAGAAGAGACGAGGCAGGACAATAAAGACCACACTTCCTGCAGGTGAACGTAGAGAAGAGAGAGGTGATGAAGACACCCAAACAACAACAACTTGCACCAATCACGGTAAACGGGAGAAATCTGGAGGAAGTTGTCTCTTTCACCTACCTACCTACCTGCCTAGGCAGCATCGTCTCAACTACAGGTGGCGGCACAGATGACCATGTAAAAAACATGATCGGAAAGACAGCAAGACAGGTCTTCATCAAACTGAAGTCGGTGAAGTGATCTACTGGACTGCACTGCACTGCACTCAGCATAAACAACATGATCTGGATTTTCAACACTAAATCAGTCGAGTCAGTGTTTCCATGTGATGGTTGAGAGACTTGATGCCTTACGAAAAGAATTTCCAATAAACTGCAATCATACATGAACAGCTGCCGTCTACACTCACTCTATGCTGAGGCGAGAAAGAAGGAACAAAGAGGAAGTGTGACCTCGCAACGAACCAACCAACGAAGGAACAAGCTATCGCCCAACAAATATGCAGAAGAAGAGAGTGGAGATGGATTGGATTGGATCGGACATACACTTGTAAGACCGATTGGAGACGTCACGCGCAGGCCAGGCCGTCGAGTGAAACTCAAATGGGAAACGAAGAGTTTGGTCTGTGAGCTGAGGGTGACAGGAGGAGATGGTGTGAAGAGGAAATGAAAGGTTACGGGCAGTGTTGGAGACAGATTGAAAAAAACTGTATTGAGCAGAGTGAAATGGTGCTGTTCTAGTGAAGCCCTGTGTTCCACTAGAAACTCAAGGGACAAATAACAATAATAATGTCTGCGAGGTAACAGCGACTGAATGAATAGTGACCATTCTTTTATCGATCAATTGACACACTTCGATATCTGCAATAAACAAGAAAGGGAGGGTTAACCTATCCGCTATTTCGATTGTATTCATGAACCGTCATTGATGAGAATATTTGAGATAGCCATAGTTTGGCATATTAGCCGAATTACCGGCATGATGCTCTCTCATTTGAGCTGAGACCAACGTCTGTCTCAATTTAATTAAGTTCTGGGTATTTAATGTGATTTTATATTGAAGCACATGATCCAGAGGCCAATGTATTTGACTTGACCGTTAATCATCTTCAGTCACTGGGGCGTATAAGATCCAGTGTAATGTGCTACTATGCTATTCGATTACATGTTCTACTCACATCAAGGTAACCTCATTTTACTACATATGGATTAGCCTGGGAAAAGATCAGTTAGTTAACCAGGTTCAATATAATATTATTTGACACTCTTTTTTTAATATCCTGTCAATATTACTGTAATAAACATACTTCATAGTAGTATCGTTTCTGTGATGTATTTGACACTCGGAAAGCAGAGCATATTGGTAAAACAAAGCCACACATCCCCTCGAATAGAGCAAACAGTAACAGAAGAGAAGACATTGCAGATGACCTAAACAAAAAAATAAATTTTCAAATAAAATAAAGTATAAAAGCATTACCATTTGCAAATCAGTTGCAATCACTAGATAATGGGGATGACAAATGTTTTTCAGTTAATGAATAGTAACCAGTATTATATTCTACTGAGCAATGCTGAGATCGGTTATCAAAGTCAGTTAGTATCAAAGCTTTTTATTTGATGTTAGATAGTCCAAAATAGATTTCAGAAACCCATAAGTAAACGTTTTTCATTCATTTACCATTGACTGTTTTAATGAAACTTATGGCTACTATATGATTTGTGTTAAAGAACGCTGAAATTCATGTTGATCAGTTGAACATATTCAAAAAGGAAGCTTAGAACCATCTTTTTCTTATTCGTTGTCATTCATCAATAAAAAACTATGAAGCTTATATAAAATACATTCAGTCTCGAGCACTGAAGCCGATTTTACCCAGTTGAAGGCTTTCAGACTAAGGCAGGGAATGATTCAGGTAGAAGTCATTGAATCAGAATGAGTCTTCTCAAGCTTAGTGTAAATGAACACTTAAAAGTCATAAAGCGTACATCGAGACTCATTTACTGAATCTAGACAACCTTCGAGTATTATCTATCATGCTGCATGATGCCTAGTGGGTTCTCCTAATGCTCTCCTTCATACATCTTCACTTGACAAAATTTAGTCAACACTAAGGACCGAAAATGTAACAGAAAGTTTTCAGAACTGATAAATCATGAGAAATTATCCAGCAGTCGAGTCGACAGCTTAGTGATAGCGTGTGAACGATTTTACGATTGAATTTTGAGGGAGTTGTTGGGATTTGGAAATATTTCAAGTTGTTATTCATCGTAGACTGATATCAGTTGGAGGAATAAAAGAAACCTGGGAGCACTGGACAGCTGGCTGTTCCCTAATACTATGGGACTCTTCAGCAGTATGCACTCACCACCCGTCACAAACAGCAATCGAACCCGCAAACTTCAGGTTCCATCCTTCCTCCAACTGATGTCAGTCTACGATGAATAACAACCTGAAAGATTTCCAAATCCACACAACTCCCTCAAATTCAATTGAACTGGTACTCATTGGTCACTAGCTTCGAGGGATATTCCCGGAGTTCCAATGAGAAGTTGCAAAGCCTGATGGTTGTGAGGACAGTTACTCAACAATGACATTGGGTGGTGGTTGCTCTATATCATGAGGTAACAGAAGTTGTAAATATGGACGATTGGATCGTGACCCAGTGGCTGGCTGAATGGTAATGTGGTGATCACGGAACGTGAAGGTGGCGGTTTGGATCCGTGATGGTGTGTGGTCGTGGGTGTGGACTGCTGAGGAGTCCCATAGTATTAGGGAACAGCCAGCTGTCTGGTGCTCCCAGGTTTCTTTTATTCCTCCAACTGATATCAGTCTACGATGAACAACAACTTGAGATTTTAGGATTGTCTATTTTTGGTGCCAACAGAGCGTCTCTGGGAAATTATCCGGGCTAGATTACTACAAGTAATCTCTGATAGAAAAATTCCTAATCTAATGAAACATACTACTGCACAACATGGGTAGTGAGATGCCACTCAAGTTGATCTGAAGATTTGCAATAACCTATGTTTTTCAGAACTAAATTTTATTAGTTCCCTGAGAATTCTGCATCAGAAATCAAGCTGTATGATTAAAACTGAATGGTTTCAACGAAAACATTACTGGCATCACTGTTAGGCGGTTGTAAAACTATTCATTTGTAAGATATACCAGCGTACATCGTGTAATTTATGTATCGGTAACAAACTGGTCACATACTGGTCCATCTAGATCAGCTAGGCTAGATTGAGTTAGTTTAGAAAATTGGGCTGTATAAGCTGAATTTGTTCGGGTACAAGGTTGATAATCCGGCTCACCTTAAACGATCCAATCGGCCCTCTAAAGCTGAGTTCATTTTAATCTAGTTAGCAAAACTCACACAACAGTACGTTCTTCAATAAAACATGTGGAGATCACGTAAATATCATTTTCATAAATCCTTGCATTGAAAATTATGTTTCTTCATGTCATTGTTTACATTTTAAAATCTTCCTTGACATATATAAAAATAGGAGATTGTTTATCAATATGTAGTGCAATATTTCGTTCGAACACAACTTTTGTAACCTGAGTGTCTCATGTTTGGCAATATACACTGACCCGTTCATGTCATTATTATATTATTCTTCCCGTGGGTTCCTAGTGGAACATAGAGATTAAGTAGTACGCCTCAATTCCACTCTCTTCTCTACAGTCTGCTCAACCTGACGCTACGACTGCCCACAAACTTTCATTTTTTCCTCACATCATCTCCTCCATATCACTCACGCTCAATTAGTCGTTTACCCTTTGCATTCCACTTGACAGAGCAGAGTGATACGTGATGCCCTCAGTCGGCCTTCTCAGTGTATGCCAAATCCAGTCAATCTCGACTTTGTTCTGCATATTTTTTGGATGATAGATTCGTGGTTGGTTCGTTTCCAGGCCACAGTTCCTTGTTACTTATTCTTTCTCGCCATGTGATCTTCAGTATCGAGTCAGCGCAGGCAGCTATTGGTGGATGTCTGTAGTTTGTTGAAAATGCTTTTCGTGAAACGCCAAGTTTATGAACCATATAGAAGAACTGACTTGACGTTGGTGTTGAAAATCCGGATGTTGTTCACGCTTTTTGCTGAGTGCAGTAGATCTCCACACTGATTTCAGACTAATGAAAGCCTGTTATGCTTTTCCGAACCTGGTTTTGACATCCTCGTCTGTGCCTGCGTCACCTGTAATTGAAAGGTTGCTGCCTGGGTAGGTAGGTAGGTGAGAGAGACAAATTCATTTACGTTTCTCCCATTAATAGTTATTGGGGCTTGTTGTTGTTGTTGGTGGTGGTGTTGGTTGGGTATCATCTTCACCTCTGTCTTCTCCACGCTCACTTGATGGGAGTCACGTTTTAGCTGCCCTCCCTCTTCTGTCAGCTTGTTGGTTTTCCTCTGTAGATCCTCGAGAGTTTGTGCGACATTAAACATAAATCATCGGCAAAATTCAAATCTTCTGGGGTCTTTTCATTGGTCAAATAGCGTACGCCCATCTCGCTCCTCGCAGTTTGCTGAATGATCCAGTCGACCACAATCAGGAAGATTGTAGGTGATAATAGACAGCCTTGTCTTACTCCTGTCTTCACTTCAAAGGCATCACTGAGCTTTCCACTGTGGATAACTTGGTATGTGGCGTCTTCATATACGTTCCTGTCATGTTTTTCCTATTTCGGTTTCTGCCCGAGATTTATTAATACTTAGAGATTACTCCTGAAGAATTTTCATTGGAAATCTATCTCCTATTTCCAAACATGTTAACAATTTATTCTGTCACAATATCTCTCAAGTTCAGTTGCTATCGTGTCTTCCAATCCTTCAGATCATGTTCTGGAGAATAAATTGTATCTGTAGTAAATTGGATCCGATTACACTGTATTCAGATAACTCTATTTTAAATATATTTACAGTACTTATTGACCTTCTGACTGCATTTCTATGTTGATAGATATTTTGTTGCTTTTTAATTACTCTTACTGATGATAAATAACAGAGAAATGCTAATGCTTTTTGGGTGCACTGCAGATATATCAATATTTCGTGACAGTTTCGCGTCAAATATCACATCTTGTAATCTTAACCAAATAGAGGTTTCCAATGGAAACGCTGCTGTCACTATAGTTGGATTTTGATCTGAATAAGGGTAATCAATTCTGCTTGAAACTTCGTTATACTGTGCCACTGTATACAATCTCAATAAATAAAAAAACAATCTAATATAGACGTGGACCACCATGTATTGTATACCCCGGGTGTTCACACTAATGACCAGTCTCAACTCATGAGGTTACTTTTCATAGCATGCACACTAACATCCACATCACACGATTTCAGGTAACCAGTAGGAACCCCTGCACTACCTAGGCTTCGTGCATCTTGACGCTTGTCAGAAAGGCGTATATATATATATATATATATATATATATATATATATATATATTCAAAGATTTCAGACATTCAAATACATCATGTTTGATATAATCAAGGAAGCGGCTATACATTTGACTATGGACATTAGGAAGGATGAATGAATGGTTGAACTTGCAGACATCCGATCAAGTTTTTTTTGTTATGTTTCCTACCAGTAATTTTTTTCCACATATTGTTAGAGTTCCTATACGACAGCGACTTCTAGTTGTATTTAGTATTTTGACGTTGTATTTTAGACTTAACTAGGCAGTTAAGTCTTTAACTCTGGGATGATTTCCCGTCTTATACAGCCCTTCATTTTATCTCCATCGTCTATTTAGATGAGGAGAGGAAAGTATGTCAAACCTCATGTAGACTGTTTCAGCAGGGCAGTATATGTCAAGACAGAACCTAAGATAGCTTGTGATATTAGGGATAGTTTTGTCCAAAACTTTACCGACAAATATATCTTAGTCTGTTTCTTTGAGCATGCTTCTGGAACATAGTATATTCTCCTGTAAATAGCATCTGTAGTGGACATTCTTGGAAAGGTATCCAAAAGCTTTCTTGTGTAATTTACCGTACACTTTAGGCAATACAGTGGTCAGAATTCAGCAGCGGAGCTTCATGCATGCTAAAGTCATTGCTAAATACTTAATCTAAGGTGTTGTCAAGACGAATAGAAAAGTTAAGCATATTTTCATGACCTAGTGAAAAAAGGAAACTGCAGTCATATGAATTAAAATCTTCACAGACCATAGACAAAGAATTACCCAGAATCAGAGCAGTGAATTCAGTGAATTCGTCAGGAAAAGTTGACAAATCTGGAAAACTACAGCCAGTTGGAACACACGTTTTTCTTATGTATAAGTGTTTTTATTTACTTAGATATTTAGAATGACATATAATGGTTAAGCATTCAGGTTTCTTGTTGGAGAAGCTAAATTATATATAGCTCAAGGTGGACCAGTTTGTACTGATAAATGATGCTACACCTCCGCCATATTTCTTTTTGGGAAAGCCTTGATCTTGTCAAAATAATCTGAAACCATTTAAACAGACTAAATCATCATTATCATGTTGACTGTAGCATTATTACACCCATATTCCGATAAACATTTGTGAATAAGAATGACTGAAGTTATTCAGTTCACTCACTTATAAGAATAAACGACGAATTAGAAGTAATGATAAAAACAAATGATACTTGTTGTTCAAGGAGTAATTATTGTGACTTAAAAGACTAGTTATTAATTATCTGGTATTCAGAGAAATCAGTACAAGGTTTCCGTTTCAATGGGGAACTCATTCATCGACTGGGTAGTACATAAAGCCATCTGATGAGTCCTAAATAAAGAGAAATGTGTATTCTGAACTCCACTTAGTAAATAAAATCATAATTTTTAAGAATTTTATAGAAAAATAAAATATTGCAATAACTAACCGTCTATCTGAAATATCATAGTCTGCGAGTGCCACACTTGGCCGACTGAAAAAAGATACCAATAACAAACAGCATTATGAGTACAGTACTTCGGTTTGATTAACAAAAATGAAAAAATATTTTTAGTGAATATACTATCATGTTTTCATCAACTAATTTTTCTGTCTCATCAAATATAGTCTATGAAAATGTTCAGTGAATAATCCTCGGTAAGGTGTATGATGAATGCAAAATACTATGAACCACTAGCTGAAATCATCTAGGGGGCATTGAATATCAGTAGGTAAAAAAAATACTTGTTTTTATTCAGATTCAAGATCTTCTATGTATGCATCTATGATACAATGTGGGTTGAGTTCACGACTTTCAACCGCCTTATCCCATCAAACTGAAGTCGAATCTTTAACAATAACAAATTTCATACTCTTCATTTATCTTCATTATTACGAAGAATAGGTAAAGTACTATTTGAACATCGATACTTGAATATCAGTCGTAAAATAAAAGGAAAACGGAGTGTATCAATCTCTGAGAAGTTGAAACTTTAGTGCCTTTCTTAATTACACTGAATCTCGCTAGAAATGGATAAGCGTATTTGACCTGTTAAGTTTCTAGAGGACTGATAGAGTTCAAGATACTTCATACCATTGATTGACAACAGCTGAGGAATTATTGAAAATCTTAGGAGCAATGAATATCTCTCACGTCCTTAATAGTTCTCTAGTTGATACCAACAAGTAATTAAACAAAATATAGTTATTAGTATATAAAAGAAAGCCAGTGAGAAATATAAGAAGGAATGAGTAGTTCAGCAAAGAGTCTCTTGTAGGCGATTTTGTTCTCTTCAAGCTGAACAATCCTCACACAAAGTGACTGACTGAAATACTCGAAGTCATTAGAAGGCATATACGTAATTAAAGTCATTATTCATCATGGAATGACATCCTTTGGAAGCATTAAAGACCTGGGTGAACAGTAAAGCAGATTTACTTCACTAAGGGATCTTTCAGCAGTGTGCATACTCGATACCATCAGGAATCAAACCGAGGAACATCCTTATATTGTCTTTTTGATACTGTTGACCCTATCAAGTAAATAAAGCATGTAGAGATATTTCTCACAAACGTTTGATTTCTTCCAATATGGAACCAATTTCCACCATTGTTCGAATCACGGATACTATTTACTTTTACACAAATCTAAGGACAATAATAAAAGTTTAGATATTAGAATGTTAGCAGTATGCTTGAATAAAATAAGATCACGATGCATCGTTAATATGTAATTTACGCTGAACCATAAAATCCACAGATAGAAAGATAGGATTACTACGATATCCGTCTTAAACCTGTTACTAGCAGATTGTTTAATAACAAATCTAAAATGTGGTACTATGAATTTCCCAGCTTGTTATCCACATGTATATACAAGGATAATAAATATAACCTGAAACATGGACCACACATATGTAATAACTACTACTTAGGAGGAATCGAAAACTAACAAGTTGACAGAAGAGGCAGGGCAGTGAAGACGGGACTTCAAGTAAATGTAGAAAAGACAGAGGTGATGAAGATACCCAACCAACAATAACAACAACAAACTCCAATCACTATCAACTGGAGAAACTTGAAGGAAGTAACCTCCTTCACCTATCTAGACAGCACTGTTTCAACTACATGTGGCACAGGCGAGGATATCAAGACCAGTCAGAATCGGAAAAGCAAGACAGGTGTTCACTAGCCTGAAACCAGTGTGGAGATCTACTCGACTGCACTCAGCATGTGGAACAAGATGAGGATTTTCAACACCAATCCAATCAAGTCAGTGCTTCTGTATGGCTCACAGACTTGGCGCGTCACGAAAGGGATTTCCAATAAAATACACACATTCATCAACAACTGCCTACACTGGATCGATACTGAAGATCAGATGGCCAGAAAGAATAAGCAACAAGATACTCTGGGAACGAACCAACCAAGAACCTATCACGCAACAAATATGCAGGAGGAAATGGAGATGGATTGGGCATGCACTGAGAAGGCCGAATGGGAACATCACGCGTCAGGCCAGTTGCTCGAGTGGAATCCTCATGGGAAGCAACGAGTTTTGCATCCCATTTGAGGGTGACATGGAGGAGGTCGTCCGAGGAGGAAATGAGAGCTTGTGGGCTGTCGTGGAACCAGGTTCAAAAGATCTCAGAGAACAGAGGCCACTGGAGACGTGCTACTGAAGCCCTACGTTCGATTAGGAACCCAAGGGACTAATAATAATAATAATAAAACATTGTTAAAAATACAATAAAGGTAAGGCGAAGAGTAGAAATCGTGTTTTAAAAGTACCTTCTGGAGGTTAGTTTCCGCGGCTAGAGGAATTTTGAATGAAATATGATGAGTAGTATGCATGATTTTTACTTTATTGCCTTCGAAAGATGAGGATCTCCAGCTAAAGCATAATATCTTGAAATGGTGGAAAACATTTGTAGCTCAGGCGAATGGTATTGTTTGTATTGTTTTCTGTGAGCTGGGTTGTTTAATTCACGATGTTTCATCTCAATGCACGTGGATAAATATGGACGTGGATTCAATTTTGACAATGCAAAAATCTTCGACGGAGAGAGGAAACACAAAGAACATCAGAGAATTCCTAGAAGCTTGACATTCATGTCAGTCAGTCAGTCAACAAGCCATAGATGAATGTAGAGACATAGACCGAATATATCAACCAGTGAGGAAAATGATAAATGACAGAAAGATGAGAGGTGAAGCAGAGTAGGAGCCAACAGGAAAGTCTGTGCAGTCAGTCGATGACACAACAATCAAAGAGAAAAGTGAATCATAAACCAGTTGGTCAGGTCAAGCTAGTGAGTCAGTGACGGAGCGATATTGACAGCTGACTTCATACTGAAGTTTGTGCTGAAGATGTCATCTAGAAAGACGATGAAACAACCAGCCTCAGAGAGCACAATACTATTGAAAGTTTAACATCCCTGTTAACGGTGTCTGCTTTCTTTACTCAAGCATCATCAAACTGTAAATATCCCCTGACTTTTCATGCTACATTGCGACCTTGCCTATTACAACTTCTTTCATGTCAATTTTGAAAGCCGCTGTGAAACTAACTGATGTCAAAAGATTTTGTATCAAGGATCTCCATCATCTACAGTAACACTGAAAACATGGGGGCACTGAATAGCTGCATTGTCTTCATTTCGGTTTATTCGGCACTTCATATTCGTGACTATCTATAGGATCCAATCAAGGAACTCCAAGATTCTGAGATAAGCACTCTATCAGTTATCTATTAGGTTGAAAATCAGTGGTTCTTGTATCCAATTTATTTCGATTTTTGACATGGCATAGTAGTTATATAATGGTTCTCATGAGCACCATTCTTCACATCTAACTTGGTTGATACTACATGTCCCGGATTTTCATTGAAAATTGGAGTTAGATTTCTCAAAGCTGCAGTGAGTTGGTTGTGAAGATAAACGAAGTGGAAAAGGGTAACGGTGTAACATGAACTGATTGAAGTTAGATTCGCGAACTATTTCATTTCAGCTCGGTGGTCTATCGTAATTTATTCATTGCTAGAAGTGAGGACCGTCGAATACAATCTGAACGATGTAATACACCAGCTAGGATGTAGCAGTTATCTAGTACATTTTTAGCTTAAGTTGGTCTTTTTGATTGGCATCAGTTTATCATTAAGATTTCTTTGAAACAAAACTGGGAAAATTAGGTTGTGCATACCACGGATTAACATAAACATAGGCTTTGTAAATCATATTTTGATATCTTCTAACTGATGCTTTTCTAGGCTTCATAAAGTTCTGGTGGCTTCAGTGCTTTGCGAATTAATGGTGATTCCATAGGAGGTCTTCCTTCAGCTTTGCAACAGTCTTTTGTGAATAAATCGCTTATTCTTCATCTGGTTCTCCTTTCTGTGGAACCCTAGTGGATCCTTAGTGGGATATAGGTCTTCAGTAGCACACAGCCATTTCACTCTCTTCTCTGCAGCCCTTTCACCCTGGCTCCATCACTACGAAGAAGCTTTCATTTCGTTCTCACACCATCTCCTCAATGTCACCCTCAGACATCCAACTCATCCTTTCCCATTCGGGTCTCACTCGACAGCCTGGTCTGATGCATGATGTCCCTAAACCGTCTTTTCAGTGTATGTCCGATTCAATCCAATCTATCTCCACTTTCTTCTTCTGAATATCTGTTGGGCGATAGGTTCCTGGATGGTTAGTTGCTAAGAGAGAGTTACTCCTTGTTTATTCTTTCTGGTCTTCTCACCTGATCTTCAGTATGGAGCATAGACAGCAGCTGTTGGTGCAGGTCTGCAGTCTCTTGGAAATGCTTTTCGCAAAGTACCAAGTCTCTCAACCATAAAAAAGCAATGACTTGACAGTAGTGTTGAAAATCCAGATCTTGTTGTTTATGCTGAGTGCAGTGCAATAGATTTCTCACACTGATTTCAGATTAGTGAAGGCATATCTTGCTGTCTTTTTCATCCTGGCTTTCACGTCCTTATCTGTGCCGCCACCTGTAGTTGAGACGGTACTGTCTAGGTGGGTGGGTGAAAGAGACAACTTACTTTACATTTCTCCCGTTTATGGTGATTGGTGCTTGTCGTTGTTCGTTGAGTATCTTTATCACCTATGTCTTCTCTACGTTCATCTGAACGAAGTGCCTTCTTTGCTGCCCTGCCTTTTCTGCCAACTTGTTAGTTTTCGCCCGTAGATCTTCGAGTGTGTGCGGCATCATATAATAAGGTGAAAATGTCAGTAGATGTTAAATTCTTATTGAACAGTATACAGATAAAAAGGATTCAATTTATTCTTTTCTAAAAAATTAATAATTCGCGACATTGTACTGCTGATATTATTATTATTATTGTTAATATTAGTCCTTGGGTCCTAATCGAACATACGGCTTCAGTAGCACATCTCCAGTGAACTCTGTTCTCTGAAATCCTTTGAATCTGGCTCCACAGCAGCCTACAGGCTCTCATCTACTCCTCTCACGATCTTCTCCATA